TGCTGGAGGGCCCCCAGACCTTCTGTCACTTCCGTACAGAGCGGCCACACAGCTAATCACACACCCAGTGTCATCCCAGGGGTACAGTCATTGCCCTTCCAAGTGGTTGTGCTGAGCGAGGGCCACGAGAAGACTCCAGCACGGGTTCTGGCTCTGCTCTATGTAGGAACAATAGGAATAGGCTGTGCACAAATAATTTGGTATTAAAGGCCACTTATCTCGTATTGGTCATCTTGCTGAGACCCTTGGAAGGTTCAGCTATCCAAGCCAAATCTGCAACCTAAACCCAAATACTAAAGGAGGACCTCAGTAGAAGCCAGAAACCAGACGTGGGGGTGGGGTGGGGGTGGGGTAGAGTCCCCACAAACACTGGGAAATGGAAGAAATAGTCTTGGCCACATGGTGTAGAGTGGGTCTGTGGTCAACCAGACCCTTATCCAGAAGCAACAGACATCTCATGACCCAAGCCCTGGGTCAGCTCTTATCTAATGACCAGTGTGTCTCATCTGTGCTACGGAAGGTAAGTCCACCTTGGAACAACGAAGGAAGATCAGTGGTGCCTCCACATGTCCAGGTCGAGGGGGGCAGCTGTGATCAAGAGCCACAAAGGCCTCTTAGAAACCAGAGGCAAGACACTTAGGGATCACACTCTTCTCCCTGCCTCCCCACTTCCCAGATGTGGGGCCCTGGCAGCTGCTTGCCGTAACCCATGGTCTCCTCGGTGAAGTGGGGCCTGCCTCTGTAACATGAATCTTAAAGGGGCTTAATAAAAACATCTTAAAGGGTCTTTCTAGCCTGTAGAGGTGGCGTGATCTGGTACACGCAGGGCCGGCACAGAGTGCAGGGCAAATGCCGTGGAATCGGTTTGCCAAGGGGGCTGACAGAGAGCAGCTTCGTCTCCACGGGTTGTCGTTGAGGACTTCTTTTGCATGCTTTCACAGCATCTTCCACAAACACCAGCGTTTCCAAATAGCCTTCTGTCTGGGTTTGACTCCTTAGTGCCAATCTTGGGATGGAGCCTCATCCCCGGGTACCAAATCCAACCTTCTAGTTCACCTCCTGCCAAAGCTTAGCGTGTTCCTCCTGCTCTGGCCTGACCTGTGGCTTAGGAGTGTGGCAGGCCTGGAGTCTTGTCTTATGTCACTGGGCCTTTATGTCACTTGCTAGTGGGGCTACCCTGCCCACTCTAAGGACAGGCATGCCCTTTTTTAGAGCCCTGGGTTCAATTCCTAGCACCAACCAACCAATACTCATGGCCAAAAAGCAAAACAGAATGAGAAAAGGGCCAGGGTCCCATAACCCCCTTGCGAGGACAGGCCCTCCACTGGCCTAAAGAACTCCCATTAAGGCCTCACCCCGAAGGTTCCATCACCTCCTAGCTGTGCCTAGACATCAAACCTTCAACAGATGAGAATTTGGAAGCTACTCAAGATCCAAACTAGCCAGGCATGGTGGTGAACGCTGTAAACCCATCACTTAGGAGCTAGCAGCAGGAGAATTAGGGGTTAAAGGTCATTTTTAGATATATAGCAAATTTTACTGCTATACAAAGTGTCCTGGAATTGGTTGGTTCACAGAATGAGTTCCAGGACAGTTCCAGGTGAGTAGCCTAGGGATTCGTGGAAGAAGCCTACACACAAGGACTCGAATATCTCAGATGCATCTCCCACCAATATCCAGGATAATTTCTAGACTTTCAGATGCCTGGGGGTGTGCAGGGTATCCCTTTGTCAAACCTGTTTTGTTAGTGAATCCAGCGTGGACACGTCTGGCTGGACATAGTGTCACACCTGTAATCCCAGCAGTCTAGAGATAGAATAAGGGATCCAGAGTTCAAGGCCAGCCTTGGTTACGTAGTAAATCTGAAGCCATCCTGGACTACATGAGAAGCCTGTTGAACCTACACACTCACACACAGGAAAAAAGAAAAAAAAAAAAAAAGAGGAAGAGTGAAGAATTATGTGCCACAGGTTGTTCTCAGTGTTGACACTTTAGCTGAAAAATGGAAAGAATAGGAAAGTGCAACTCAGCATTCTCATAACTAGACCAAGCACCCATTTCCCAGGCTTAGGGTTTTCCATTTCTTTAGGAATTTAACAAAGGAACCCCTCCACTAGAGGTTCCATTTCCCACTGCGACAAAGGGAGGTGGTGGTGTGTGAGGGCCAGGCTCTCGCCGCCCTCTTCCCTCACTAACACCTCAAGGGACAAGTCAAAATGCGGGTCTCTTAGGCGGGCATGGAGCTCAGTGGTAGAGGACTGGCCAGGCTTGCTCCAGGCAGGGCTGCATTCACCAATGGCGACAAAATAACAAAACATCCAGTTGCTTTTCTCTCAAACTCTGATAAAATAGTCCTCAAGCTGAAATAGCTAAGTTATAACAAAAGTTGTAACACTCTAGAAATCAAGAATTTTTTCTTATCGTGGAGGTATGAGAAAACACATAAAATGCACAGTTTAACACATCCGACAGAGCTAGCCTTTGGGTGACAAATCGAGGGCCCCTGGATGTAAATCACTCTTCCCTGCACCCTCTCCCCAAGAAAGCCCCTACTCTTTCCTTATAATTTGATCAATCAAGTAGGCATCCCTTAAAAAAAAAAAAAACTGTATTATATTACTGAAACAGTACAGGTTATTTCCTTTACAGCTTCTTTTGTTTAATGTCCTTTTTTTGTGTGTGAGATTCATTGTATTGTAAGTAGCTATGGCTCATGGTTTTGTTTTTTTTTTTTTTCCTTCAGTGAGGAGGTTCCCCTGTATTGAGCAGACCATGGTCTAGTTACGTTGCTGGGCACTGGTTTATCAATATAAGACTCTAGCTGAATGGGGTGTGTGGGTGCAGGTGCCCGAGGCTTTGAATGGCAGAGACTTTGGACCCTCTGCCGCTAGTTACAGGTGGCTGTGAATCACCTAGATGCTGAAGTATCTACTAAGGTCCTCTGCAAGAGCAGTATGTGCTCTTAATCGATGGGCCATTTCTCCAGACGCCAATCTACAACTTTCTAAATTTATTTTATTTTGTTTTTGAGACAGGGTCTGAAGGGATTGGCATCGGCTCAGGACCCCCAAGACCAAGTTCTCAGCACAAAGGAGATTTATTTGCCCTAGAGCGACAGAGGGTAGGGAATGAGAGGCAAAGACAGGAGATAGAGGATCAGGGAGAAGGGGAACGGAACCAGGGAGAGGGGGAAGGGATAGTTGTCCTGGAGGGACAAAGGACAGCCTCTGGAGAGGAAGGAGACAGATGTAGCCCGTAGGAAAATGCTATTATAAAGGTACAAGGGGAAGCCCCATGTTAGGATGAGGTGTTTAATTTTAATTGGGCATGTTAATTAGGTGAACCAAAGGGGGCTTCTGATTGCTGGACTTCAATACTTTGGTAGTCGGCGTCAGGAGGAGGAAGTGGCCAAATAGGGAATAGAACTTGGTGGCCAGCGTTAGGAATGTAATCTAATGGTTTTTAAAGAGGAAGACAGAATGGGGGAGGAGGGCAAGGCCTGCCGGAGCCATGTTTGCCGTGCTCGGGCTGGCTAGAGTCCCTTCAGGGTCTCCTATATCGTAGGCTGGTTAGTGATTTACTATGTAGGCAAGGATGACCTTGAACTCCTCATCCTCCTGCCTCTGCCTCCTCAATGCTGGGATTATAAGCATTCATCACCATGCCTACACGGTACCTCCACATGCACTAATACAAATACGGAGTTGATTTCTTCATGAGCCCAAGAAGTAGAATTTGGCTTTAGATTACTGTAAAATCCTTTCACAGTCCTGGACAAACCACTAACATTTTGTTTTGTTGCTGTTACTGGCTTTTTTTCATTCTTTTGTGGCCAAATTTGGAATGCAGCGCATAAACCATCTTTCTCAATGAGTAATAGCATAGGCTTTTCCTTGAACTTGAGTCAGTAAGCGTAAAATGAATAGACGGCTTGGGCGTTTCCTCCAGGGAATCAAGAAAATGATTAGCATACCCGCTTAAGGAATTTGCTCTGTTAGTGTTAGGGAGTATTTTCTCTGGCCTATTTATGGAGACGGTAAGCCAGCTGGGACAAAGCATCCTTGATTTCTTCCCAGAGCTGGACCCACCCCACAGCAGCACGCGGGTTGTCCCTTTCTGTCGGGGACACCTCTGAAGCTTTGCTTCCCCAGGCATGGAAATGTGTGATGTGGTCAGACTGCGCAGACTCCAAGCCCCAAGAAAAATCAAGACCCGCCCCGCCCCGCCCCCTTCTCACTCCGCCCCCTTCTCAAGCAAACTCTAATGCGCACACTGGTGGGGCAGCCCGGCCTCCTGTGGGAATCCGTTAACACATCCTTTAAAGCCCAGCTTTCAGCAAATGGGTAGGTGGGTTTCCTCTCTTAATTGTAAGGGTTGAGAACAGTAAGCAGCTGCCTAGGTCTAGGACAGACCTTCCAGCCATAGACCAGCACCACAGGACCCAGCTGGGCCAAAACGGTTTCCCTGGGCCATGGTCTGAGCGAGGGTGACTGGTGGTGGTCCTGGAGAGAGGGGGATCAGCAGACGCCCCGTGGCTGGGGAGGGGAACTTGTCCCCCTAAAGGATCCTTGTGTGAACTTGGTAAGTGAACCAGAGCTATCTGGTCATTCTCTCTCACTGGTCCCAGAATAAGCAATCGCAATTACAAGATGTCCTTCTGGAAGTCCAGCCCAACAAGGCTGTCTGCCTGGAAATCCATAAAAGAAAAAAAAAAAAAATCAGTTAGGGGAACAGGTGTTACTGTAGGCTTTGTGGGCAGCTCGGTGGTTTGCGTCTGCGAACCTGTTGCTGCTTGGCTGAACCTATTGGGCCCATCTTAGTGCCTATCTGCCCTACCCATGTTGTGTAAATATCCCCACGGCAAAGGCTTCTCTCCGTCTTGTTGGGGTTCCCATGACTGTCAGGATAGGAGTTGATGCCGCATCTGTATTCGGCCTGTCGCACGCCCCCACCAGGTAGGGACCTCCTGCCCTCGCTGACCCTGGCTCTTATCTCTACAGGTTTCGGCATGACCACCCCAGCCACAGTGGGCGGGAAGGCCTTCCTCATCGCCTACGGACTGTTCGGCTGCGCGGGGACCATCCTGTTCTTCAACCTCTTTCTGGAGCGCATCATCTCGCTGCTGGCCTTCATCATGCGCGCCTGCCGAGAGCGCCAGCTGCGCCGCAGCGGCCTGCTGCCCGCCACCTTCCGTCGGGGCTCGGCGCTGTCCGAGGCCGACAGCCTGGCGGGCTGGAAGCCCTCGGTGTACCACGTGCTGCTCATCCTGGGCCTGTTCGCCGTGCTGCTGGCATGCTGCGCCTCGGCCATGTACACCAGCGTGGAGGGCTGGGACTACGTGGACTCGCTCTACTTCTGCTTCGTCACCTTCAGCACCATCGGCTTCGGGGACCTGGTGAGCAGCCAGCACGCCGCCTACCGGAACCAGGGGCTCTACCGCCTGGGCAACTTCCTCTTCATCCTGCTCGGCGTGTGCTGCATCTACTCGCTCTTCAACGTCATCTCCATCCTCATCAAGCAGGTGCTCAACTGGATGCTGCGCAAGCTGAGCTGCCGCTGCTGCACGCGCTGCTGTCCGGCGCCCGGCGCGCCCCTGTCAAGGCGCAACGCCATCACCCCGGGCTCCCGGCTGCGCCGCCGCCTGGCCGCGCTGGGCGCCGACCCCGCGACCCGCGACAGCGACGCCGAGGGCCGCCGCCTGTCGGGCGAGCTCATCTCCATGCGCGACCTCACGGCGTCCAACAAGGTGTCGCTGGCGCTGCTGCAGAAGCAGCTGTCCGAGACGGCCAACGGCTACCCGCGCAGCGTGTGCGTCAACACGCGCCAGAACGGCTTCTCGGGCGGCGTGGGCGCGCTGGGCATCATGAACAACCGGCTGGCAGAGACCAGCGCCTCCAGGTAGAGCGGCTGCCCGCCCCCAGCGCCGCGGACCCGGCCTGGGCTGCGCGCCGCCGGGCGGGTTTGCTTCAATGCTCTCCGAGACCGCGCTTTCTTAATCTTTATCCAATAAAAACGAAACGACACGAAACAAAACAAAACAAAACAAAACCACAAAAAAACAAAAATGTTTTCTAAAGAAATACTATTTGGCCAGGCCTGACGTGACCAAGGGCAAGTTTTAGATGAGACTGTGATCTTTTGAGTCCCCTCTTGGAGCACCGTGCCCCCCCAACAGATTTCCCTTGCAGGAAGAGAAAAAGTGGCACCCCAAATCCCCCCTTCTCCCCGTGCCAGTGCATACTGCAGCAAGGAGAGTGCATTCCTGGGCTTTGCAGACAGGCACTAAAGCCTTCCCCATGCACATAAGCAGCTGGCAACCCCGAAGCATATGGTGCCGCCTTTCATGGCTCTGAATTACCTCCTCAGCCTTTAGAATCCTGGCCCAGCCTAGCAGCTTCCTTCTGGTCGTCAGAAGTGATATAGTCACAGTTTTGACAGGTGGGGGTAGGGAGCGCCATATGCTGCCTCCCCGTGTATATATATAGAACACCACTACACACGGGGCTGCTGTAGTATTATGCAATGAGAGGGAACCGCAGCACCAACCTGCAGTCCGTGGCACCCCCCCACACACCTTGGAAAATGCAAATGGTGAGGGGCTTAGCTGGCCTTTCACAGCCCGCAGCTAGTCGGCTTCCTGAGTTCTGCTTGTGGAAAATCAGAGGGACCTGTAGGGAGAGGCAATCTCAGACTGGGAGTCCTGCTCTGATCTCTGAAATGAGCCCCCCTCCCACCCCCGACTTTCTTTTCATTCACAAGCTTCGCGCACGCGCACGCGCACCGCCGCTCGCCGATACTAATCAGGACTGGGTGCCTCTTCTCGGATAAGATTTTCTTACTGTTGTCTTCTTAACCCTTGTTGACCAGTTCAACCCTTCCCCCTTTTAGAGAGCCTAGAGGGGCAGCGCACAGCCCCCATCCACCTCTGCTCTAATTTAGGGCTCGGCCCTCTACCCCAACCAGGACCTACAGCACCAGAAGCCAAAAGCAAACGTCAGGCCATTAAACTCCCGTGCCTACCACATAGTGTTTAGGGGCTGGCGCAATGAGACCACACTCTGAATCCTGTGTGGTCTCCAAATAACCAGGTAGGTCTGTGTTCTCTCTGCGTACCCTACACTGGAGGTGGAGGAGGCAGGAAGGAGGGAGGGAGATGCCAGAACCCACGGGATAAAAGTGATGTTCTGAATGATGGTCCTCAGGCTGAGGGACAGAATCTCCCAGACTCGCCCTCTGCAGAGGGCAGTCCAGATCCTCAAGGCTTCATGGAACTGGCAGAGTTTGAAGCTGTGAAGGAGCACACCTCTGCCCTCTGTCTCATCTGAAGAAATGCCAATGTTTAAGGAAAGTGTCCGTTCACGGTGTGACCCAATTACACACCTCTGGTAGGAATTTTTACAAACTTTATCACCTCAGTACACTATCCCTCTCCCTGGCAAATGTGCCTGGAGTGTGTGTGCACATATGCACACATGTTCACTCACACACAGAGAACATTAAAAACCATATTTGAATGTCAAATTCTGATTCTCCCTTCCAGTTTCAGATAGGAAGGAAAAAAATAACCCAGGGCACAGGGACTTGGTTAGTTTGGGTAATTTCCAGTCTGTTATTGGGGTTGGTCTTTATACCAGGTCTTTAAACACAGGCTCTAGTCTGGTATAAAACCAATGAGGTAGGGCTGACAGGAGAGAGACCGGCTTACTAAATCCTCAAGGGGTAGAACCCTCCAGAAGCCATGCTGTGACTGCACATCAGGGCCAGCCCATGAGCTGTCATCTGAACAATGGCTTTGGTCCCAGGAAGGGACTACACAGTCTTAAGAGATGTGAGTCTCCAGTACAGGGCTTCTGACAGGACCTGGAAATAAAGCACCAGGCTTATCCCTTTAAAAGAAGAACAGATTAAAAAGCATCCAGTTAGAGATGTCACCTAGGCAACGGGAAATAACTTGGGGAGCTGAGCCATCCAGAGCGGGGAAATAGAGATTCCCGTGGCAGAGGCATCTGGACCAGGCAAAATAGCAGTTTGCCCGTGGCGGGGGGGGGGGGGGGGGGGGGAGCCCTGAGGACAGAACAGTGGGGCTAAGGCTCGGCCGCCAAGTCGCCACATAATAAGCCATCCAAGCCACCATACTGACGAATGCCTAACGCTGCATGGAGTCCCTTCTCCTCGGGAGCAGGGGAGCAACCACCAGGATCCTCCTCCAGGGAAGAGAAATGCCAAGCCCTCCTTGGCAGCCTCCTCTATCACCAGGCTTCTTAGGCTCCCTAAGTTGCTTCCGCTGCACACACAGCCTTAGATGTTTTCAGTTCCTTTCCTATGCGTTGGCTTTGGAAGGAGGCAATTGGCTGCAGTTAGAGCAAAGCCTCTAAAGGAAGCACACGCACGGTTTGAGGGGGCAGGGCAGGGAAGCCCCTCTTTCCCTTCCCTCTCATGACTTCCCAGAGAAACGTCTGTCCTCCAAGTATCTCAGGATCCGGTGGCACATGTACACTGTCGCCCCTGTCCCTCTGGTCCCCATCACACAACACCCAGTCTCAGTCCCACCACCATGTGGTACGACAGACCATCCTTCTCTCCCCTGCCCAGACTAAGGATTGGGTGCCCCAGATGCCTGGGGCTGCAGCTGGGGCCCCTCAGGTCAGGGGACTTGATGGAGCAATAGAGCGATGTGGTGTGACCGCTTGTTTAAGGCAACACAGAGAAGCAAAAATAGGCTGTCCTATCGTTTTGGAAACAATGACGCTGCTCAGGACCCCTTTCCTAAGAAGGGCTCTGTGTCCTTAGATGGCAATACCTCTCCCATGGTCACAGGTATCTCTAGTCTAACCCACGGCTGGCAGCTCCCCAGTGTTCTCAACTCCTGTGGGCTGCAGCTCGCCCGCCTAACCTCAGGCTCACACTCACAGTGTCCTACTGAGCTATGTATGGGCTCCTATAACAACACAGTGTGACTCCCATAATCCTTTGTCTTCTGGTTGCGGCCACACAGAACGCAGAAGCCAGGGGCCGAGTCTCTGGCTTTCTTAGAGTTGTGCAGGTTGATAAAGAAGCCGCTGTGGGTGTCATTGCCCACTAAAGTCACATAGTCAGCCCCTGTGTCTTCCAAATGAAGCCCAGGGTCCTGGTGGGATGGTCTAGGGGCTGGGCAGTCTCAGGCCTTCAACCCTTGGAGTCCCGGCCTTTGCATGTCACGCACGGGTGTTCCCACACACAGCAGCCTTACACACAGCTACTAGCCCTTTCCTCAAGGGACCCTCCCAGGGGGGGCCCACTTGAAGAAGAACGACTTTTCCTGTTTAGTTCTCTAGAGATCTCCTCAGGCTTTGTTCCTCTCGGTGTCGGGAGTTTTATGTGCAGTGTGCATGTGTTTATGTGTCACACAGAAGCCAGCATCCAGCCCCAAGTCTACCCCTACAGAGAGCTGGTCACCAAGACCCGCAGCAGGCTCCTCGACCTACAGGTTCTAGAGTGAGGGGTACCTGAGCCCTTATTAACGGAGGGGGTGCTTCTGAGGGCCTGAGGCCAACAGCACCCCATCTAGTCAGCTACCATAGAGCCTGTGGGCCACCCGGGTCTATCTTAATGTAACCTTTTACACTCTTAGGGAAAAAAAAAAAAAAGCACAAATCTCAGTGTCTAGCCAGCAGCTCGGGGCACTTCAGCATCCAGACGAGGTGCTGGGCTTGTCTGTCTGTCGCTAAGGTTGGTGGGTGACCCTGAAGGCACCTCCCGTAGAGTGGGAAGGGGGAAGAACCTGCTGAAGCCGTGGGCTCGGTAGCACAGACATGTGGCCTGGACTCTCGTGACCCTGGAAAAGCCTTGGCACCAGAAGGCATCCTGGAGTGTGACATCACTGAATGCAGCGCAAAGCCAGCCTCGCTGTGCACTGAGGAGAAGCCATGGCCTTTTGGCACCAACCTGACTGGAGATCCTGTCCCTCCTCCCAAGGAAGCTGGCCCTGGCTTGACAACTCATTTTTCATGCTGCGTTCTCGGGGGAGGGGTTCCAGCATGCAGGCAAGCAAGCCTACGGCGCCTGGAAACAACACATTTCTCCTTCTGAGCAGCACTTTGCTCTGAGAGAAGACTAAAGGGTATTTAAATTAACGATGAATAAAAAGCAGCCTGCCACCCTTTGAGCTGTTTGCTTTCTGTCTGCTCTGAGCTCCTCTTCCTGCCCACACTGCCTCTCCAGGCCCCTCCCCCTCACTTCCTGCTCACACTGCCTCCCCAGGCCCCTCCCCCTGACTTCCTGGTCACACTGCCTCCCCAGGCCCCTCCCCCTCACTGCCTGTTCACACTGCCTCCCCAGGCCCTCCAGACCTGGGAATGCCATAGGGGATTACTCTGCAGATTAGCAGAGGTACCCCTGGGCCTGCCTGGGCTGAGGGTGGCAGAGTCGGGGCATTCAGTGAACCGTGACCATGCTCTCAATTCTGGTTGCACACTTGACCCTCCAAAGTGAGCTTGAAGAAAATGCTGAGACCAGGCCCTTCCCAGGAGGGACGCAGGGCAGGCACTAGGATTATTTTTTTCAGTAGTGCAGGTGATTCTCGCACCGCACAGAACGGGCTCAGCGCCTGGCTTTCCTCATCTCTCCAATGGGATCATGACCCCACATGCCACTTCCTCGAAATATTAGGAGTAAGCAGAGGCTGGGAAGCCTTGAAAGTACAAAGTGCTCCAGAGATGCAAGGGGTCCCCTCCCTGAGAAGCATTCACGAGGACGCGGTTCAGCGGGCCCCTCTTTCTCCTCCTAGTCCTTGCTTTGGCAGACCTCTCCTTTACGGTAGCCCTCAGCTCTCGCTAGCGTCACGGAGTCCGCTGAGACTTCCTCCTCCACATGCCCTCCTAGTGATAAAGGACTATCGGGGAGTCTTTGATGACAACTGAGCCTTTGTGAGGAACTAGGGTCCCAGAAACTCAACAGCCACCAAGTTTCAGGTCCTTGTCTGGAAATTTTGAAGAGTGGAATTTGTGGACCATAGAGGGTGTTAGAGAGAATTTTATTATAGACTAATAGATAGGCACTTAAGGCGGGTGGTGGTGGTGCACGCCTTTAATCCCAGCACTCAGGAGGCAGAGGCAGGCAGATCTCTGTAAATTCGAGGCCAGCCTGGTCTCCAAAAAAGAGAGTTCCAGGAAAGGCGCAAAGCTACACAGAGAAACTCTGTCTCGAAAAACCAAAAAAAGAAAAAAGAAAAAGAAAAAAAATAGATAGGCACTTAAGGGGGGGAGAAAGAAAGAAGAAACCCCCCCCATAGCAGGAGGGGTCCCAGGAAGTAGGGTACCACTGAGCCTCACTGCCTTGGAGTTAATAAGGCAGAGATGTTATTGATGGAGAAAGAGAGAGGTGGAGGCAAGCTGGGTCAGGCCAGTTCTCCCTGCAAGTGTTTAGAAGTTTCCAGTTTCTGTTACTTCTTCATTAGCATTTCCAAGAGAGTGGTGTTTTTTGAGGGGGATTAGGATAAGGAACACACACACACACACACACACACACACACACACACACAACCCAATAAATAAATAAAAGTTTCAACAAACCACTGACTCTCTGTCAGTTTTTGCCTTTTGTTTTAATGCTGGACTAAGTTGCGAAATGGTTTCATGATCCTCCCGTGGGGTCACCCTGCCATTTAAACCCCCCAGGCCCATAGCTTTTCTGGAGGGAGGGCTTCCAACCGTCCCACTTCCAATTGAGACCATCAGCGGCAAAAATGCTGGGCACACCGGCTTCAGCCACCGCCAGGCGCTCTGCCTTTGACTGGGGTCTCCAGCTGTGGCTCAGCTGGATGGCACATTCCAGAGAGTGCTCTATCTTCACTGAAAAATCCTGGTGACCCTTGATGGCTTTTCAGGTCCTAAGGCCTGTGGTTCCTATGACATTTTAGGAGCCTGACAGACAACACCTGGGTGGATGGCCAATCCTGCCTCCTCCATGGTCAGTTACCTTTCTGTGAAGATACTTGTGTTCTTAATAAGTACACACGAAAAGGGAACTTAGCCATGTGTCAAGTCAGGCTGTTGGACAAGAGGTTTGTATATTTATCACAACTACCAAAAAACAAAACCAAAAGCAAGTAAACACTGATGGTTTCCCTCCAGCCAGAGAGGCTAAGGAACTTCTCTAGTTTGGGACTCTTGCAGCAGAGACTGGAGGAAAAGGGTGAGAAAACATGATCGCTGCAGACCCTGGACTCCAGGCTCACAATGACCAGTAACAGCACTTCAGCACAATTCGGGAAGGTCTGCAGCCGCAGGCACTCTGGGGTCCTGGGACTGCTGGAGAGATGCGGTCACTCTGATGCTGCAGAGAAAGCTTTCCCACTGAGCCCACGGGGGAGGGGGCTGCAGGGAGCCTGCCGGTGACTCACAGGAAGAGGGAACAGGCAGAGCTGGCAGCATGGGAGACCAGAGCCGAGCTCCTTCAGAAAGCTGCGTGCAGTTCCTGAGGTCTGGAGGGACAGACCAAGACGTGACAGATCATGCAGGGTCTCGTAAACCAAAGCAGGTTGGCCTCGTCCTGAGGACACTGGGAAGCTAGCAGAGGGATATCCTAAGGAAGCTCGGACTGCAGAATGACTAGGGGAGACAAGTCTGTGAGAGTGAAAATGGAGATGTCTGAAAAGCTAGGCCAACAGAAGCAATGCCTGTGCCTGCCTGTGGGCAAAAGTCTGAGAGAAAAGCCGGCAAGCTATCTCAGGAGGTAGATGTGTGACAAACCTGAGACCTAAATTCAATCCCACGTGGTAGACAGAGAGAATCTGGTCCTGCAAGGTGCCCTCTGACCTCCCGACATGTGCCATGGCACACATGTGCTCACATACAAGCACACGTGCAGGAATGTGCACATATACACACACAACAAATAAACACAATCTTAAAAGCGTTTAAGAACAAAAGGCCCCAGGTTTGGGTCTGAAAGTGGACCACACCGAAACCGGTGACCCTCGAGAGGGAATATGCTCGGACAGGAAAGATGATGAGCTCAAATGGGGAGAAACTGGTTTTTTGTTTGTTTTCTCTCTTTGTTTTGTTTGTTTGAGATAAGGTCTGTGTTTGAAGCCCTAACTGTCCTGGAACTCACTATGTAAAGCAGGCTGGCCCCAAAGCACAGAGATCTGCCTGCCTCTGGCCCGAGCACCACCAGTAAGGCATGTGCCAGCATGCCTAGCAAGAAGCTGGGTTTAAAGGAGCCTGGGAGTGTCCCAGGAAGACGTTTCCACTCAGCAAAAACTAACTTTGTAATCTAAATGAGACAAGTAATCCGGAGGTCCACAGCCTCAGGATGGCTAGTGGAGTCATCAAGCCCAGGGGTCCCCAACCTCCCTAACGCTGAGACCCTTTAATACAGTTCCTCACGTTGTGGTGACCCCCAATCATAGAGTCATCTTCACTGCTACTTCATAACTGTAATCTTGCTGCTGTTGTGAACTGTAATGTCAATATCTGTGTTTTCCAATGGTCTAAGGTGACCCCTGTGAAAGGGTCGTCCAACCCCAAAGGGGCTGCGACCCACAGATTGAGAACTGATGATGGCCCAAACATGTGGAAAGAGCAAAGAAAAGGGTCGAATCCCAACACCCAGGGTTGGGGGGTTGGGGGGGCAGAGGCATCTGGTTTGGTGGCTAGGGCCTCAGCTTGTGAGTGGTTCCTATGAGTCCCTGGGAATGGGCCGTCATGTCTAATCTTCACAGGTCACATCTTATAAATGTTAGCTAGAGAGCAAATTGGACTATGCTAACAGAAGTTCAAAATAATACTAGCTAACAACAGGTAAGAGGTTATTTTTCTCCTAGGAAGGGGTTCCAGCATGGAGCTCCTCAGCGTCCACATCCCTGCCATATCTACCTGTTTCTGCTCCATCCATGAGGAATGGTCCAAGGCTCTGTGGTCCAAGATGATTCACTTCCATTCCAGGCAAGGGAAAGGTCTAGACAGATGTCTTTCGTCAAGGGCATGGCCCCAAGACAACACACATCACTTTCATTCTCTCTCAGCCCAAACTGCGGCATACGACCGAACATGGCTGCACACGGATCTGAAAACTATTTTTCCTCAAGTGAGCCATGGGCTTGGTGAGATTGGGTCCTGTTCAGGCTCCTGAGGGGACATTCTGAAGGGGCACCGGGCTTGTATCCCTTCATTATTACTAGTGTGGTTCAGACTCAGTGTCTGTCTGGTTGCCGCCTCATCCCCCAGCAACTGCCTGCCTGTCTGGAAGGAAACTGCCAAGGGATTCTGGGAAATGTAGTTTAAAAAGACTTCCAGCCTCAGCAAAGCAAAAACAGTGTAAAGGCAGTGAGTTAGTTAGGGTTTCTATTGCTGTGAAGAGATGTCATGACCACGGCAACTCTTATAAAGGAAAACATTTAATTGGGGCTGGCTTACAGTTTCCGAGGTTTAGTCCATTATCATCACAGTGGGACATGGCGGCGTGCAGGCAGACATGGTGCTGAAGAAGAAAATGAGGGTTCTACATCTTGATCTTCAGGCAGCAGAAGGAGACTGTGTGCTGGGTGTAGCTTGAGCATATGAGACCTCAAAGCCCGCCCCACAGTGACACATTTCCTCCAACAAGGCCACACCTATGAGCCACACAACAATGCCGCTCCCTTTGAGCCACGCATTCAAACACACGAATCTTTGGGGAACATTCCGAGTCAAACCACCACAGGCCATATTTATAAAATTACATCAAGCACCATGTTGGGTAGTTCACAAATTCCTGTAACTCTGGACCCATGGGATCCAACACCCTCAGAAAGACCACTGTGGGTGCCTGCACACATGTACACACATACGCACAGAATGACACACACACATGCACATAAACAAAAATAAAACAAATCCTTACAAATAAGATAAATGGTATACCACTCCACTAGGACACCTTAGCCACCATGAAGCAAGACAGTTACATTCTAATCCTTTATTTGGTTAGCAGTTGGTTATGGAGACAAGGTCTCACTATGTTACACAGGCTGGTGGAAGCGCTTGGACTCAGGGCACCTCAGCCTCCACAGGAATACAGGATCATCATTCCCCTCATGTCCCACTCTAGTATACTCTTGAGAGAATACTACTTCATTTTGAGGGGCATGTACACACAGATGGCTATTGATAGAAATCACTA